ATTCATATATTTGTAGATCTTAGCCAAAAAGCATTAGGAGTTTTCTCTAAATTCACACATTGCTTAGTATCTCGTAAATGTTTGAATTTATGACATGTAGGATTCTTTTTCCTGTTTCACAAATGAACCCAAAGGGAATGAACAGTTGCTTAAGATGTTTCAAGTGACAAGAAGAAATTTCAGTAAAGAATGCTATTATAATGATATCCCACACAAAAACCTACTGAAGAAATTTACATTTGTTACTTCATCTGACCTCACCGATCACTTCAGGATATTTAGTAAAATCTTTTTCCTCGTAATGTTATTAAAGGCTTATAATTACGCTTATTTGCAAAGACTGATACATTCTGGAAAGAGAGTTAATACTAAGCACAATTGTTGTCACAAAATAGAGACGAATAATGAGTTACTGTCCCACAGCCATCAAGATAAACTTTTCATGTATTTCCATGATCAAATATTATTACTACGACTGACGTTGTGAGTTGTTGTCAAAACGAGTTTATCAAATTACTCAAAGCAAGAATTCGATTGTCTTAAAAGCAGTTCTCCAAATTACAAGGATATGGATCTGACTGTTTATTGACTAAAATGTACTAGGAAGATAAAACTTGTCAGTATTGTTCGGGGAAAAAAACGTTCCTGTCAGAGTTGATAAATCGAGATGCTCTGGTTTTGAACAGCTACAGCAGTTAAAATAATTTTTTACATTCTCCTTAATGGTGCAGCAGTCTACCCAAATATTACTGCTCGATTATTTTCAACAAAATATTTCAAAATATTCTATTTGAAACATAATGTAAAATTTAACAAATGTTTTCGCATTTAAATCCATTGGGCTTATTAAAGTCTTAAAAATTTATTTTAAAATATCTAAATTAAGCTAATGTTATAGGAACCAGTTTTTTTTTGGGGGGGGGGGGTTAAAAACCCTGATACAAAACGCTTTTGATCTTACTTTTTTTTAAAAAAATACTATTTTTANGGGGGGGGGTATCATTACTAGAGATATCGAACATAATTTCAAGCATTTACCTCCCGGTATTACATCAATAATCATTTCGTTACCAGGAGCAACTAATTGATCGAGTAGACGCTATCCTGCGATTTTTTGTCTAAAATAAAAAATATATATTTATATATTATTATGCTCGGCACAAAACAAAAAACACAAATCCCCCTGCATAACTTTTGATATACTAATCGGATTTCCATGCACAAAAACTCAATCTTCAGTCTCAAATATGCAAATTAATTCGTGCAGACAATATTTTTTAAATTACGGAATTGGACACAAAAATGTATTTTCTGGGAAAAAAATTCCTTTTCTTTGACTGATTTGGATTTTTGACCCTCAATATATAGGTTCCAATAGAGTGCCTAGAGTAAAAGAGTGTGGACAAGGGAGAAACGATTCCTGATTGGTGGAAAGAAAAACTTTACCGCCGGAGGCGAGAGTGGAAAATTCGCCATTGGAATTACACAGAGTGAAAATTATCTGCCTCAAAAAATTTATGTTCTGCATTAATAAAGGCATGTATAAGTTCTTTACTTACTTTTTTTCAATAAGAAACTTCACGGTTGCAGTGTAAAAATTATGGCTGAAAATTTGGATAGTTATTAGTTATTTGAATTTATCCTTATTATTACTTACTTGCGTGCATATAAAGTTTTGTTTATCTCATTGTAAAGAGAACAAGGTGACGAAACAACTAATGATTACATAAGAATAAATGTATTTACTTTTAATAAACATAATTTCTATCTAAATTACTTATAAATTTTAAGATTTGTGCATCTTTTTATCAAAACTTCAGAAGTGCAGAGTTTGGCGATAATACTCGAAATGTTGGCGCGTTACAATGTTCGCCAAGTAGCATTTGCTTACTTTTCGTTACCAACTTGATTAAATGCTAGTTTGTTTTAAATTACAACTAATTATCGAAATTTTTGTTAACAATTTGCTGAAATAACCAATACCTTTTAAAGTGAATATGCGATAATTTTTTCCTGAAAAAGTAATAAATAATAATAAATTACGTTATTTGTTTTATTGATTATTATTTCTGAAATGAATAACATAATCATCATTAATTTTTATATTTTATTTAAGGAATTTATTTAAAGCTGAAGTCTTTTCATAGGTCTTTTTTTTTTTCATTGACGTTAATTTTTCAACAATGTGAGATGCTAATTTTTCTTACCATGTTTCTTAAAAAATCTGTAATATTATGTGCTCTCCAATCTTAAAGTTTATATAATTGATACTTTAGTTCTTTAGTATATACTCTTAGAATAACAGAACTTTCAGAATAACACCAAATGAACGAGTAGCGCCAATTTCGGTGTATCATCTGGCAACCCCCTTGGTCAAAAATATGACGGCAGCGCATGCGCTCTTGGATATTGTCATCACTCTTTTCAATACAGGCACTCTAGGTTCTAATAGTTTGGTCAAGAGGGTGGTTTAAAATTAGGACCCCTTAATATACATTTTACTTTTTACATATCTCGCAATATCTCGAAAATTTTATAAGCAAATAGAAAACTGTTTGCACACAACTATAAAATTCGTTACCCATATAATTCTTATTAATTATTTATTGCTTTCTATTACTTAACTTCATAATATTCGAAAATATTTTGAACTGTAAGGGATACACATTTTTGCAGAATGTAATCTTATATGTCAAAATACAAAATTTGAACGAAATCGGTCAAATAGTTCCTGAGAAATCGAATTTTAAGTATACGATTTCTTTAAAATTTGATTTCTCAGGAACTATTTCCGATTTCGTTCAAATTTTATATTTTGACATGTAAAATTAGATTCTTTAAAAGTATGTAAAAATTTGTATGCCTTAAAACAAAATCAATATTACTGAATTCGAAAGTTTTGGGAATAATATTAAATACAATAATAAATAATTATTAGTAATTATTTTTTCATGGCCAATCATTTTCATTGGGTAAATATATTTTATAAAATTTTCATTTCATTAAAAAGTTTTCGAGATACGGCAAAATACGAAAAAAGAAAAAGTAACATAAAGGAATCCAATTTTTGGACCACTCTCCTGAGCAAAAACTATTAGAACTATATTCCCACATTGCTCCCTTCTGTATTTTGATGGCCTGAAATCCAAATATGTTTTTAAAAAAAGTATCTTTAATCTTCAAAGAAAGAATGTTTTTATGTCTGGTTTCGTAATTTAAACATCATCCGCACTAATTATTTGGCGTATTTGAGCTCACCCCCTCGAGGCCTAAAATGTGAGGGAGTGCTAAAATGAGTCTGAGTATGTGAAGTTCTGATTATTAGATCAATAGTTATTCAGGGAAAAAAAATTTTATTTACTTTTTTTTCTGCACTTTTGATGAGTACATTGACATGCCAGTAGATCAGAATCATATTATCAATGCCATACTCGGTGATGGGCACCACCAACTCAGAGACCAGTAGAAATTCCTTACAAAAAGTCCTTAATAATTCTAAAAATGCTTTTTGCTTTTTTTTTTTTTTTTATAAAAATATTTTTGCAATCTTTATCAAGTGTGTTTTCAATGTCTATCAATATATTAATAGTGTGTAGTAATGAAACTTTTAATAATAAAACTCATAACACAATTAAAAATTAATGCTTTAGTAGATTTATAAAAACTGTTATTTCGAGACTTTAAATTTTAAGTTACATTTTTGAAACAGTTTTTCAAAAAACTTACAAAATAAAAAAATAAAAAAAAACCTTTTTGTGTTTTGAGAAAGAAGCTTTCGATGAAATTTGTCCAGCGGTCCTTAAAACTTTTGTCGGCCTTGTAGAATATTGTTGGATTTAATCAATACATTGAAGTGACATTTTTCTTCATTCAACCCTCAGTTGATCTACCTATAAAAGTCATCACATAAGACTCGTATAAAAACCATGATGCCAAAGTAACTAATTTGATCAACCGTTCAAAGTGTGAAAGTTTAAAAAAGATTCATATGAAATCCAGAAGACTCATATGAAAATTATGTTTCCATTGTAAAAATAAATAGCTCTAAAATTTTAAATAGCGATTCTACCCTCATTCTTGTTAGGAAAGACCTCATCAAACTGGCAGCAATGCATCAGCAATCTAGATATTTAGTACGGCGCAATTAGCGTTGCCAATGGATTTGTAGCAATTATCATATTCATAGCCTTTGGCTTGTGTATGCATATTTTTTTATGATATTAAGGGCATTCGGATAAAGAACGAAAGATTCCTCATTTGATTTTAGTCAACGCCGTAGGAACATGTCCTTCACTTTGTCAAACTAGTAAACATGTATCAATGCTCTATCACATTCCTCAACAGATGGCGGCACTGCAATATTCACAAACCATGCTTCATGGTTTGGTGGCAAGCATATTTCCAGAGAACCCTATCAACAGGTAAAAAACTGTATCTGACTTTTTCGTCTCGTTTACTGGAGAAGTGTGTAACGAGAGCTATGGAAATTATCGTCACTCATACTTTTTTTCTCTAAATTATTTTTCCAGCAAAGAATGATGTATTGGGCAAGAAGGAAATACGTGTACCTAAGAAGTCGTAGAAATGAGAACTGCACGCGACACTACACTACCATGATAGTTGTATTAAAGATAGTTGTACCAAGTCTCCAGCACTACTTCGTTAGCAGCGTATAATCAGAATACCTGTAATCACCAAGCCTGAGTTTTCCAAGATCATCCGAATTGCCAGCAATCTCTTACATGAAGCATAATGATGAACATGATAATTTGCCAAATGCCCTGATTTCACGCTCCATTTTTATAAAGTTTGCTTACTTTAAAAAAATGCTCGCATGCTCATTACTTTAAATGTTTTTCATGCACAAAGTATATCAGTAAGAATACAACGTAAAAATTTGCTTTTGCCTGCGTACAAATAGTTCACATTTATTTTCGTTCAAAATAGGAATTGCGTCGAATACCCACAAGCTGAGAGAATGACAAGAAGTTGTTGACTATTGATGTTATTGATAATCAACCAACCAGTTTCAAAACTAGTTGTGTTTACTCACTCTCTCTGTTTGTTTATATTAAAATTATCTTGATCTTAATTTGATTGTCTAATGTTTATGTATGAATTATAATTCTCTGCACTAAAAATATGATTAAAGCTATTTTAGTGTTCAACAATCATGGGAAGCCCCGACTTTCAAAATTTTATCAATTTTATGTAAGTCAATATTTGTTTGACACTGACAGCTCAATGATTTTAAGTTTGATTACCTACTCTATCGCCACGAATGAATTTTTTTTCTTTTAAATCTCAATATTGAAAAATTTAATATCAGCTTATAATTATTCTAGAAATTCTATAATTTCAACTTGCCATGTCGATTTTTTCCGGAAAATGCAATATTAAATACACTTTATTAATTTAAACATTCATTTTTCTCTTGTAAATGTATACCTATATTAATAAAATGATACAAAACATGCTCGATTACCCATATATACTAATTTTTATTGAAATATAGCTTTAATATCTCAATTGACTATTTTGTTTTCAAAAATTTTAATGGAAATATTTCTTTGAAAAATATATATATGTGTGAAATGTCTCACACTACTGCATATATTTGTTTGAATATTAACCTGATTCTTATAGATCTTTAGTTTTATTCAGTGCTTTTTTTGAAAATGGAACACACCCAAAATCCATTGGAAACTACTATGAAAAATTTAATTATAACTATAGTTTATTTATTTATTGGCAATTTACAAAAACTAGTTTTAGTATGATTTCCATTTCAGTATCATAGGAGTGTTCATGATCAAATTTGTTAATGAGTAAATAAAGAAATTAGACTTTGAGTATTTCAATCTACTTTAAAGACAGTGATGTTTGCCATATTTGACTTTAGTTTTTATCAACATAATTGCATAAATTCCGTTATTCAGAAGATTGTCTTATCTAGATGAGACATTAACACTTACTTTATCTATTACATTTTCTTCTATTTATTTATGTTTTAATGCCTGTAAGCAGCTATATGTATGTACTTGTCTTTCAAATCTTCATTTTACTATTTTGTTATTTATTTATTAAGCCTGAAGAAATGCAGCAACAGATTATTAGAGAAACATTCCAATTAGTTAGCAAAAGAGATGATAATGTTTGTAATTTTCTGGAAGGAGGCAGGTAAGTAATATTTTAAGTATATGTGTGATGAATTAGTATAAATGTATATTTTTAATGTCAAAAAATTTCTAAAATTTCATCTTTATTGCTGATAATTTTTGTTTAAAAACTCTCTTAAAATTTGTGGATGTGGAAACTAATTTAAGTGTCCTTAAAGACATTGGTTTATATAATATAGTTTTTATGTATAACTTTTATTAAATTTAATATTTGCTAATTGTTCTAAATGTATGTTAGTATAAACTTCATTTTTATAAACTTCCTGACTATGTTAAAACCGCAGACAAATTTGAATTTTTGAAGATAATGATGCTGATTGACTCTTTAAATTCTGCTGTCGGACTTGTAATATCTCGAAATGGAACAAATTATAATTCTTTTTTTAACCCCTCTTCATTAATATGGCTTTAAAATTGAAGGTTAAAAATATAATATTTTATTTCTTACTTGGCCAAATTTTTGACAGAAAACAAGCCATATAGCTGGAAAACTGATTTGTCTTACACATGTCTCAATTAGAAACATGTTAATGGTATAATGGCCATATGAATGATGAATATAGATTCGAATTGTATTTATTCTATGATTAATTTTATAAATATACCTAGATATGTAGCTTATGAATGTAAATTTTGCCTTGACAATCATATATTTCCACATGTTATTAACATATCCTTTTTGCTATTCTCATATATCTTAAAAAATACGGAAATAAGAGAAAGAGAGATTTTTAAAGCTCTATTATTTTATTATTTACTAACCTTTGAAGTATTTAAGTGATTTTAAGTTTTTTATTTTAGAAAGTTTTATAAGCCAAATATTCCTGTACTTGCAGAATCATCCATTAATATTTTAGCATTTAATACCTGACATAAGCTCAAACCAATACAACTTATTTTTCAATAAAGTTTATCTTTAGTTCTACTGCCTAGTAAAAGCTTAAACTAAATTAAACTCAGTGGTGTGACAGCCAATGGAGCCTACTGTGCCCATCTCAGTTTTCTTGACCTTGGACTCTTGGGTGCAGGAGCAAATGTTCCGATCAGGTGGTCAGCCGACCGCGGAACCCCCAGTTCCCAAGCGTGCTTGGTACTCTTTTATCGACCCAATGAAGTGATGAAAGGCTAAGTCAACCTTGCCCGGTTCGAGGATCGAACCCAGGACCTGCGCTACCACTCAACTACCGGGCGTCAGTAAAAGCTTAGACCGTTTCTTTTTATTTTAATCACTCATTTCTTCCATCCAGTATTAAACCTTAGATAACAGCAACCTGTCAGCACAAACTATTTTCTTTGATGTTAACCTGTAAAAGTCAGCTTATATTTATGTGTTTGCTCAACTTTTAAAAAAATATATCTATCCCACAATGTTATTATCTTAATTTCCAACTTTGACTACAATTTTTAAAATATTTGTTTACAAGATATTGTACAAAAAAATGGCTTTAATCATTTTATAAATCAAATCTGTTTTTTATCATATTCACAATTTAGCTGAGTTTGATGTGGTTGAGCTAATGCAACAATTGTCCCTCTAACTATTAGTATTTTTTAACTATAAAGTCCTTGGTACTTAGAAAAATTTGATAAGTTTACCAAACCGTATGGATTGTTATTTATCTGAACAATATTGATTTGTGTATTTGAATTGTCTAAAAATATCTGTCTATATGTCTGCTATCTGTAATTTCATTCAATAAACTAAGAATTCCTCATACTCCCAAAAATATAAATTCACAACACCCCTTTTAACTATGTTAAAAAATTGTTTTCCACATCTTATGATTATCTATACATTTATAAAAAAGACGTGCAATTGGATGTTTTAAATGGAACTAAATTATGTCTTTTTAGAAATGATATTTTTTCTCCTACATCTAATATGCACTTTAAGATAGATTTTGTGGACTTAAAATATTTTATAAATGGACACCAATGATTGAGTACTATAAATAGTTGGTTTTAATTATTTCATTCTTTTAAACTTCTGATTTTTTTTAAGTATTTTAAATTTTTGACTTATTCTTTTCTTTTTCCAGTCTGATTGGAGGATCTGACTATAAACTTATATACCGACATTATGCTACATTGTACTTTGTATTTTGTGTGGATTCCTCTGAAAGTGAACTTGGAATATTAGATTTAATTCAGGTTTGTTTTTTATAATGTTTGTCTGCATCTTAGCACTGTTTTTATTTTAATACAGTATGTTTGTCTTTAGTGGGAATTAAATAGTTTGGCTATTAATGAATATAAAATGAATATTACTTTGAAATGACTTTTTTTATTGTATTTTCATTATTACAAACTGAAGATTGTGTAAAAAATTTTGTTTGATGTAAAACTTTCTAATAATTTCATGCTTCTAAATGTTAAAGTATAATTTATGCAATGGTCCTCAACAATGCATTTGTAGGCAAAAATATTCTGCCATTTTGACTAGGGGTGTAACAAATATTCGGTATTCGGCCCTTTTGTTGAATATTTGACCAAATGTTTGGCAAAGTATTATTTGGAAAATTATTTTTCGACAAGGGTTTTTTGGGAAGAAATTGCAATAGCTTTAATAAAGAATAATATAAAGTCACATTTTTTACTATACATTATTATAAATAAATTTTATATGTATTTGTTAAGCTCTAAAACTTGTTAATTTATATTCTGAAAGACACACGGAAAAGCGAAATTAGAAGAATTAAAACTAGATTACTTTATACTAAACCATGAGTTTTGTAATGCTTATTTTTTTTATTTTTTCAATTATATTTGAGCCGTAATCATTTATGAAATGAATAATTTTATTTATTTGATTGTTTTTTTCAACACTTCATGCTTTAAAAATTTAAAACCTTTTTTTTTGTTCCATTTTTGCTTGTTTTTCTGTTTTAACTAAAGCAAAGCATATTAACAGAGCATTTCTAATAGGCTTAATTATTCTATTGTTTCTTTTTTTTCTTTTACAGTAAGACAGATAACTAGTAACATAGAAGGCAGATTCTCTACATTAAAATTATATTTCAGTACTACAAAAAAAATTCTATTTATATGATTTTTTTTTATTCATTTTTCTTTTTAGCAATGTTTTTATTATGACCACATTTTGTTACTGAGCAGTATTCTTTTATGGTCACTTTTCCTAAATAGACAACAATGTAAAAAAGTTACATTAAGATTTTATTGTAATTCTTTCGTTTTTAAGAATTGAGAATGATTTTTGTTTTGGTTTCTATCTAGCTTTTTCTTTTCCAAAAGACTTATGTTTATAAAAAGTAATGTACATTTAACAAATTATTTCTTAATACAATTTGATTAAAAATCTAAATTTTAAACTAGCTTTTGTAGCATTCAGAAAAGACCCCGTTGGAAAAAATAGATTTACATTTAAAGTTACATATTTATACATAATTTATGAAATAATCCTAAATAAAAAAAATTTGGCTTATTTTACACATTTTTGTAGCTATTTCGACAAATCAAAACATTTTTTCACTCAATTTTAAGACTTTTTTACCCGTAGATATTTTTAAAGAAAATAATTTTTTAAAATTATTTATTTTTTTTTTTCCTATTTTATTTTAACAATGGTCAAAATAATTTTTTGAATTGTGAAGAAAGTAAACTTCAATACATTGGCCGCCACACACATTTATATTGAAATCTCCTTCTTGCCACGAGTACTGCTGTACGAAGCTTATTCTGCTAAGTACTCCCACCAATATTTTAATAATGCGAGTCTCTGGTGGTCACAAGAATAATATCTCGCTCTGTTGGTATCATGTCTGTTCATTTGTTGCATCTGCTGCTCATCTCACCACTTTACACGATCAGTTTGAATCTTTGCCGAGTAAAGAGAAGTATAACTTAAAATCTTTACCCTAATTCGTTGAAATTTAGAAAAGAAAAATGGATGACTTATTTCCCAGTGAGTCACATAGCAGGGAAAAAGAAAACTTTTACGAGGTTCACAATAATTTTCTTAATAAATAACTTTTTTTATTACTTTTACAACAATTCTATAGTTTTGTTACTTCCTGTGAAACATCTTTTCAAATACATATGAATATCCTTCTTCGTAAGTAGTCAAATAAGCTTCACTCCAATACGGGGGGCGCGGCCTGACCAGAAACTCTGCTGTCACTTGAATATGGGTGACGCGGCAGTTAACGTGTTAAAATATGTAATTTTAGATTACAAAATTCAAATTTTGAAGGAAATGAGTTCAATTGTTCTTCAGAAAACAATCGAAAAAATAAGACTTATTTTTAAAAAAATTTTGCTATTTAAATTTCAAAAAAGCTTCATCATAAGACTCTTTTTCAGTCTATGCTTTTCACTTTTTCTTATAATTTTTCTAATTGTTTTGCTATTATGAAATAATGTTTTTTAATCTTTTTTGTTACATTTTTTAGTTTGGAGAAAAATATCCTCGCTGGTGCAAATTTGCTATTATACATTTTTCAAAATGTATAGAAACTAATCTAATAAAATTATGAGATGAGGAATGATTTGCTAATTAATTTTTGTTAAATAAGTTTTGAACTAAACTGACTGTAGTGCTCATCGACTGAGATTCTATAGTCAGTTTTATTATTAAAACTTGCTTTCATGTTTATTTTGATGCCTTTATCTTCGTTTAGTAATTTAATCTTATTCAATTTAAACTTCATGTTACTAACATTCCATTGTTTCAAAATAATTAAAACATTTTTCAAATTTTATATTTAAAAAAATATTTATTGCTTGTTGATTAGTTAGTGATGTCTTATATCACTCTTCTTGTTAAAAGTTTAACTATTATATTAAATTAAAATAATTTACGTTAATAGATTTATTGCAAAAAAAATTGTCTTCCTAATTGTTTTTTAAAATAGGTTATTTTAACTTTTTTTCTCTCTTCGATTTTTCTTCACTTCTCCTTTATGGCAATCTCACACCTGGATATCTTGTTATTCTTTTGCTCTTCTTACCTTTCTTCATTCTGGTTTTCCAATTGAAACTAAAAAGATAATCTGCATCTCTATATTGATTCATTTTGCTCATGAGTCTTGATTTCATTATCATTGAGTTATATTGTCTGTTATTTCTCAGCAGTTAACCTCCCTGTTTTATTCTTTCTTAATTTTGGTCTTTCAATTTCTAAAAAAATGTAATCTGTGCCTATTTAATGATTCATTTGGCTCATGAGTGGCTTGAGTTCATTATCCCCACAAAAAGAATGAAATATCAAAATATTGAAGGTATGGTAAGTCTAAAAAAAAAAAATTTTTTAATTACTAATTTCTTGTGCATATTATAATGATTCCTTGAAGTTTTATTTTTTTTAAAAAAAATAAGATTATATTATTTAAACTATGAAGTAAATATTTTATTTAATAATGGTTTTAGTATTGAAAGATTCCTTTTCACATATCTATTCTCTTATTTCATAATATAACTTAATATGACTTCTTTTTAATGTAACCCTTTTTTAAATCTTGTGAATTTTAATTGCTCTTCCAACAAAATTGGCATAGTTATTATTAATGACTTGATGATATATTTATTTTCAGGTTTTTGTTGAAACTTTGGACAAATGCTTTGAAAACGTTTGTGAACTAGATTTAATATTCCATGTAGACAAGGCAAGTTAATTTTAAGTGAACTCGTAAAAAAATCTTATTATTAATTAAAAAATTTCTATGGATAGTAAACTGTATAAAACTAAATACTGATGTTGTTAGTAGCATTGAAAGCAAGGTGACATCTGTGTTATGATTTTCTATTTATTTCCATGCCAAAGCTTTGTGTTCCAATTTCAAATGATTCTATTCATTTTTTATGGAATTATTACTTTATATTTCATGTTATTCTGATTTTTCTTAATACTTAAATGAGAGGTGTGGTGGCTCAGGGGATAAAGTGTCCACCTTCCAATCAGGTGAATCCCCTGCCTACCACAATGCAGATGTAAAATATCCTCAGTGGTTGACAGATCATGGGTAAGAGTCCCCTTGCCATCAAGCTAACCGTTGGAGTTTTTTGTGGTCTTCCTGTCCCTGTAACACAAATGTGGGTTAGTTCCATCAAAAAATCCTCCACGAAGGCAAATTCTCTCAACACATTTGATCCATGAGTTCCCTAATCTTCTGGATTGGGTTCAAAATTACAAGGTTTGGGAGTGGAACATTAGTAGTCGTAATCCCAAAATTTGATGCCTATTAAACGATGGTTATGAAAATATTAAAAAGAAACTTAAATGGATATTTTGCTAAAAAAGAACAAAATAATCTTAAAATTAAATAATTTGATATTTAAGCAAATAAATAACCATAATGAGCAATACCACTCAAAAGATAACTACTTCTTCATTTTATTATTTCTAATATTTTTTATACAGGGTGTTTATAAAGTCCCGGACCCATTTTGAATCCCCAAAGAAAAAAGTCCAGCAACGTATGGGGATCTGAAAACCCCCATGAATACCGTGAGACACAAAGGGATTTGCCAAAGGTTGTTGTGTGGTGTGGACTAATGCACGACTGAGTCATTGGGCCTTTCTTTTTTACAGAAAAGACGGTGTCATCAGTCGTACACTTAGACATGTTGGAAAACTTCGTATTTCCACAACTAGAAGAGCTTCAGCCACATGTCTTTTTGCAACAAGATGGTGCACCACCTCATTTGGGTATCATCCTTCGTAGTTCTTTGAATGACCATTTTCCAGGAAGATGGATTGGACGAGGAGGTCCAATTCCTTGACCACCCAGATCACCTGATATAACTCAGCTGAACTTTTTTCTTTGGGGATTTATAAAGGACAATGTTTACAGGAGGATCGTGTCGAACATTGATGACCTAAGACCCAGAATTACAACCGCAATAGCCTCTGTGGATGCCGACATGCTTGCCGCTACCTGGTGTGAAATTGACTATCGACTTGATATTCTCCGTGCGAGACGAAGGGGGCACACGTGGAAGTTCATTGACAAGGGTCATGAAACTTTTTGAGTCTATCTAACCATTTATGTTATTAATTTTAATCTATCTTTATTATTTTATGAGTTATTAAACATCAAAAGGAGTCTGGGACTTTATAAACACCCTGTATAATTCCTGTTCATTGGCCTTAACAAATTTATGGAACTTAGAAATATATTTTTCATAAAACATAAATCTTATTTTCTATAATGAAACTTCTTAGAATATCAAGCCTTTTTGTACTTTGCCTCAGAAATGTGAAAATGGCCAGAAAAATATGCATAAATTAAAATTGTGATTGTTCCCATTCATTGTTAACCATTTATTACTTTTCAAAAATATTGTGACCTTATTATTTTAACTTACAAAATGTCTTATTTAGAAAATAAAAATAAAAAAAACATAGCTTGAGATATTTTGCGTCAAAGCACTATATATATATATATGTGTGTATATAAAGGATATATTGAAATAGTTTCCTTTAGAAAAATCAGAATTTGTGCTTTAAAGTAAATTTGTAGAAAAAAATTTTTTTATAAACTATTTTATCTGCACAGTTTATAATTTCGTATGCATCTTTCTGTTGGCAATTTTAGAACATTACTTGGCATGAGTTGTATTTATACTGATTTATAAATTTATCTTTATTTTCTTTTTAAAATTTGAATATACTGTTATTTACACACTGATTATTGTTTCTGCAAGTTCTCTTTTTCATTTAAACTCTGAATCAATTATAGCAATGAAATAATGTAAGTTAAAATAGTTTTTACTTAATTTAAGATTTTATCTTGTTGTATAAATGTGAAAAATACTTGGTGATACTTGCATAATGCTTGGTGAACATTCATTTTTGCTTTTTCTTCCCAACTTATGTAAAGAATGCATTGTAAAATATAAATAACTTTAAGAAACTATAATAACTGTAATCAGAAAGCACATACTATTCTGAAGTTTGTGGATTTTTTTCCTTCCTGGTGCTGATATTTTTGGCAGCTTAATACTCATGTCATTTCAATGGTAGAAAAAAAAAATATTTAATTGCTTTTTTTATATCTCCTACTGCAATTCTACTTAAAGTTTCTTATACTTTTAATAGTAGTTTCATTTCTTGCAATTTTAGTAATTTAGCACTGTAACTTTTTTTAGTGTAATTTTTAATTATTGTGTTTTTTATTTGATTTTTTTCACTCGTATTGAGTTTTTCTTGATTTTAAAATTTTTAACTCTTTGTAGGTACATTTTATTTTGAATGAATTGGTCATGGGTGGCATGGTATTAGAAACAAATATGTCTGAAATTATAACTAGAGTTGAAGAGCAGAATAAACTTGAAAAGCAAGAGGTATGTGTGCAATGTCTTTATCCTTGGTTGATATTAGTGTAAACCAGAGCCGAAGGACATGAAATGTAGAACATGGATATTAATTTGTATCAATTGATAACTGTTTAAAATTAAATATGAAATCCTTATACTTTTATCAGTTTTAACTGCACCATTTGAACTGTCTCTTAAAGGCATTATATATGTTTTTTATTAGTTGTTATTAATTACATTTTGTAATATTTATTAACAAGTATAAATGTTTATCAATATTTATTTCACAAGATTTCCCCTATCTATTTACCGTATTTAAAATTCGTGGGATTATTTATGGTCCTCTTTATTGTTCTATTACCACAAACTTATATTTTATTAATATTATGCAGATTTTTTTTTTTTTGAAAAATCGAGGTAGAAAAAAATATTTTTTATCAAAAGTATGTAACTCTTGGACAAAGACATTTTTCTTTATCTTTCAAAATCTGTAGTTGCGTTTCAATTAATTGTTAATTAGGTGTTATAAAAAATACTTTTTTATAAAAAACAATTTGAAAAATACTTTTTTTATTTACAAATTTGAAGTATTTCGGAGATTTTTTATGTTTAATTTGCATTATCTATTTTATTTGAAAACAAACTAATATTTGTTACCAATAATGAAAAGCTAATGATTCATTTATAAAGTGGGATCATAGGTTATAATTTTATTTTTTAGCCTTTCCAATATGGCATTTAACATGCTAAAGCGTGTTGTTTTGATACACTTGTTATACCAACTATAAGTAATCATCGTAAATATATTAATTTATTATTTTCTGTTTGAAGAATAGATATCCTCTTTTAAATTTTTATTTATTATGCGTGCTCATCCTCTTTTTTTCTAAGAAAAAAATTAGTCATTTTTTTAACTGTCACCCTAAAATTTGATTAAAAACAATTCATTATTGATTACTATTCAAAAGTATAATATTTATATTTAAGATTTTTCCTATAAGTTCTTTTTATCACTCATACAAGTGAAATACTATATTAATATATTTTGTTTTAAACACTATGCAAGAATGAGCGTTTATATCTTATATGTCTCTAGACTAAAAAATTGTACTTATTGTTACATTTTGTTTTGTTGTGCAAGTACTATTAAGACTTAAAAACTTGAAACTATAAAGGGGTGTAGAAAATTGCTTAGGAAGTACAATAGAATTTTTAAAAAAATTGTCATTTGTTGATAATTAGTTCAAGAATTATTAACTATAAAACTTTTAGGAATAAATACCCTACAAGCCACTTTACAATTGCAAGAATGCAACTTCAGAGTTGAAATTTATTATGCCAAATGGGCCATATTTGTTTTTAAACTTAGCACAGAGTTTTTTCTCTTTTTTTTTCGAAATTCCAATTTGTTCGAAAGTTATTACAATTTTAAGTACTTTTATGCCAATTATTTATCACTTTTCTGCTTACGTTACATTTCGCTTTGCTGTACGAAATATATAAGCTTAGAAACTTAAAATTGCAATGGTTAGTTTTCAAAAAAAAGTGCAGAAAGTTCAACTTAATAAAAAATTTTAGATTCAATAATTAGTACTAGGTAAAAAAAAATTAAGTAAAAAATACCATATTTGGTTATTCTATAGGCTGCTGAAATACAACCATGAAGTTAAAATTTGACATGCTGAAAGAGCCATTTTTATACGTGAACTTGGTGAAAAAAAATTTTAAGAAATTCCAATTTGTTAGAAAATTATTGCAAAAAAAGTTCTTTTTCCTGATTATTCTTTTTTTTTTTTTTTTTTGCTTTAAATATTGATTAAATATTCAGTATCGTTGTACAAATTTTTTTTTTTTCCTTCACGAAATCTTTATTATATTAACTTGCACTCTAGTAGATGTTAATCAAATCTCACAACAACAGCAACAAAAAGTCGAAAGAGATTAGACTTGTTGCCACATATAAATCTTAACCTTTATAGTAAAATTTTTTTTAAAAAAAATTATAAGGAACTAATAAAGAGGGATATGACTTGTTCCCTATTTAAAATGTTATGAGTTTTGTCAGGGAGTAAAATTACTTCTTATTTAATTCTTCTTGTTGGGTCACCATTCTGTGTTCTTTAGGTTAAACTTTTAGTTCAAGTTCAGATTTTTATTTTCTAAATCCCGGTAATCATTCATTTCATTATAATTAACATGTTAACAAAACGTTCATTCCTATAGCTACAATTGAAAATTTAAAAATTAAAACATTCTGAATTTTTATTTGAAATATCAATATTTGCGGGGGGAAATACCATTGACAAATGAGTAGCAATTAGAAGTTAAGGGAAACCAGCAGGGACAGAGCCTCTTAGTAAATAATAAATTTTGGATAATTCTGTTTCATACATTCTCATTGGGCAGAAAAGTCGCATGTTTTGACTTTTAGTTGTATATATCTTTGGTGGCCATTGTTTGATTAATAAAAGTTCTAATAGTATTTAACTGTAAAATAGTATTTATCCTTTTTTTAATGATTTTTAGCAGTAATATTATGACATCATCCATTTTTAATGTTGTTCTCTGTTATTATTATGTTTACCAATTTGATTGTCATTCAAAATTAAAGGCTAAAGAATAAGAGTATTTAGCCCCTTATAATTAAGTAATTGCATAATTTTTCCCTACAATGCAATATTTTATGAAAAGGATATTTATTCCCCATGTTACAGTTACTGAATGGTAAATAAATCTTATTTCCTTTATAATATATGTTATACATATCATGTGTAATATATGTCATATTTACTTTCATATTACATTTTATGTAATACTGTGTTCATTTCAAGTATGCAATTTAAATAGTGAGTCTCATTCAAAATTCTAAATCAGTATTAAGTAAAAAGTTTAAGTCCTATTGTTAAAAAACCTGTTTAGGGAATCAAGTTTAAGCTTTATCACAATAGAATCAGAGACTAAATCTCTGTAACAGCGATGTATTATTGCATTGAAAAAAAAAATTTTTTTTTATTTATTTATTTATTTATTTATTTGAATTTATATTTTGATATGATCTGTTTATCATGAAGAGAAAAAAACGTAATTGTGTTATTGTTGTGCTAAACAAGCAAGCATCAGAGCCCTCCTATTTATTTCATAACATATGATGTATTTTTTCTTTTATGTGTTGGCAGCCTTCTTGTTGTGTTTTCTCATTAAAACATTAAAGGTATAAAATACCCATTATTTATTTTCTGTTAATATTGATTTTCTCTTTTAGGCTGGTCTATCAGCTGCCCCTGCCAGAGCTGTTTCTGCTGTAAAAAATATGAATATTCCTCAGCAAATCAAAGACATGAAACTGCCAGATCTACCTTCAATTAGTACTCTAAAATTTTAATCTGTCCTTAAAATATTCCGAAAGTGTCATCCTTTTTCATTATTGTATTCACTACCCTGCTCATGAAGCATGATGTTTATCAATTTTTTGTAAAACAATGAGTTATTTAATAATATATATGTAATTGGTTTTTCAGTACTTTAATAGGGTCTAACTTTCATTACTAATACTGTTTTAAGTTATTTTACAGGATGTTCTAAATTACATAGATGTTTTTAAAAAAGAAAACGGTTAGTGTTTAAAAAGAAGAAAAAAATCCAACAAATGTGTGTAACAGGGCATAAGTTTTTACCTTACAGAGTTCTTGGTGAAAATTCAAAAAATTTCTGAGGTGTGATGTTACAGATAGTATTATAAATCCAAAAAAATAAATAATTGAAAAACACATCTTAGCGTGTGAATGCAAGTTACAGTAGATATTTTGAAAATATTGCTACGTTATATTCTTCCTCAAAAGATTTTTTAAAATATATATGACGCGATTTTTCATTGACGACACATTCAGTACCTGCCAAGTAGCTACACATTTATCATCTAATTTGAACTAAAACCAAGAGGAAGAAAACTATATGCCCTTCATTTATTGAAAGAATTGTTTTCTTTTTTAACCCTAATCTTTTTCCTGTTATGAATTAGTGAAAACAGTCTACCTAATTTAGAACATCCTGTATTTGGTTAATACTACTTGGCTATGCTCTAAAAATTCAAATGTAAATTGATTGTTTAATAATTATTTTTTTAATAGTGTAAATAATCTTTTTGTCATATTAATTATTTTGTATTAATTGTTAAGATTAAATCTTTTGATTGTATTAATAAATTTGCGAAGGTGCTTTTATTTCATTTTTAAAAATGGAAAATGAAGTCTATATTTATATATATATAAGTACATTTTAATTGCTTTTTAAGCTGATTGTTTTAGGTTTTTCATGGAATTATGGTTTATTGCTTAAGTGCTGGAAACACAAAAATTTATTATATTCATTTATACCTTTATCATCAGTTTACTTGAAAGAGTTTGTTTAAAACCTTTAGTATGAAATTATGTATGTTTAAGTGAGAGCTTATTATTTAAAACTGTATAATACACTTGTAGTTGTTTTTTATGAGTTTAAAAAAAGTCTATGTTTTGTTATTTATATTTTATTATGCTGCTAAAAATAGAGTACTTTGTTGTTTTATAATTAAAGTAGTACTAAATTATACATTTCAAAATCAGAAAATTTATCAATTAAAAAAAATGTGAGTCAATGTTTATTATGAAATTTTTTCAACAAAAATTTTTGTACTGTATTTTTAGTACTTATGTGTTTGTCTTTGTTTCATGGCATACTTATGTAAATAAAATACACATGGGCATGGACACAGTAGAGTCTATAATTAATCTACACTACTTGAAATTAAAGAAATTTCAAATTATTACCCATGTTTAATAAATTAATTAAAACCAAATTGTACAAACTTTAAAGTTAATTATTGCAATAACAAACAGAATAAAGAACTAGTTTTGATTTTTTTTGTTGCTCTTCTGAATTTTTTTTTTTTTAAAAAAAATTCAGAAGACCAACAAAAAAATTTGTATTTCATCCGCTTTTAATTTTTATATCTAATTTTTAAACAACTACAGCTAGTGGTTAGAACCAGAATTTCAAAATATTATCAAATATTACATAAAATCTAATCAAACAATTTAATTAAGATTTAGAAAAAAATTTAGAAGGAACTTAAAAACTTTATTCTATAATGTGAAACTTGGGTGTTCATGTAAAACAAAAGCATAACTTTTTTTCATTTTGAGAGTATTGATAATAGTTTTTTTTAAATTCAATTGTGATTACAGTTAGCTTTTATTTGAAAATCATTTAAAACTAAATAGACTCTACTGTGTATACATGTAATATTTGTAAATTATGCTATTTGGCTGTTACTTTTTTTCATATCTGAAAGTAAAAGGAATTTTACAAGTTACAAATATGTTTTATAAGTGGTTTTTATTTTTAAAAAATTTCTTGCAATTAAAACTAATTTTTCAACACAAAAACTTTATCAATCTGCAAGTTTTATCATCCAATTTTTATAATGTTCCATGTATGAATTTATAAAAAAAAAAAAGACAATATTTTAGTCTGTTGAATAATGAATCAAAATTGAAAGAAAAAACTTTTCTTTTAAATAGCCTTTTACATAAATGTAATTATTTTATATAGAATGTCATTATGTTTTTGAAAATCAACCAGATATGCTTGTAATTTACAGATTGAAGAAAATTTAATATGCGATACGTTTCATAATAAAAATATTCCATGACAACTAACTGATTGTTTTAGTCTATTTATTTATAACTCCTATAAAAAACATGTATTTCAACTTTGTGGAAATAGTATAAATGAAAATATAGCTTTGAAGAAAATGCATGTTTGTGAAGATTTATGCATTATTTTGTGAGGAAAGTAACTGATGCAGAGCTAATAATAAGTGAGTGTCATATTATGAGCATTCTTTATATCCTGTTACGTTGTTTTGTATCATTATTTGCATTTTATTATCACCTGTGGCATCATTGGATACTGGTGCGATAACATTTGTCCCCTCTAAAAGACTAATGGGACATCACTGTACCAGGATATAACTCCAGTACAGATTTTGTGAGTACAGAATTTTTTTTTTAATTATATTTGTAATGGGGTAAAAAGACAAAATGTTGCCAAAAAAATAGAAAAATTAGAAACCAATCTTGAAAAGTGAAAGAAGTCATTGTAAGCCCTAAAAATATTAAATGCTTTTTTCTAAAAAAAATATATATGTAGATAACAGTTATGTATATGTAGGAACAGTTTGAAATTTGCATTATCTTGAAGTATAAGTACTTAAGTGAAACTATAGCATCCCAGACAAAGCTAACCATTAATTGTGTATTTGACTTTAATATTAGTTGGCTTTAGTGTTTGTTGAATCACCAAACACACTCCACAGCGTAATATCCATCAAAAGAAGCTGATTGTGATTGTTTAGTCTAGCGTCAGTGTGATCCATTATGATTTTATGAAACCTGTTTTTTTGATCGCAATAGAAATATGCCAAGAAATTCATGGATTCGCACCCACCAGGATTTTACTCCACTTGGTTAAAAAAAAAAATTCTGCTTGCTTAGGAAAAGTATAGAGAAAATATGGGTGGTACATACTTTGATGAAAGAATTAATTTCTTATATTTGTAAGCTGTCAACCAACTTTATTCTAAGTGGTAAGAATTTATTTTTAAATGTTTCTGTGTCATAAACTCAACACTTTAGGTGGGTTAACTTTGGGACACTTAAAATTGGCTGAAACTTTATTCTAGCATATAGAAAATTTTTATTATATCAAACATAAAGATAAAATGTTTTAAATATCTTTACAAATTTTCAAGGAGAAAATCAAAATAAAAGCACTAATTTTTTTTTGTAGTTATGAGTAACTATCTAAACTACTTCTATTCTTATTATTAGTTCTATTAGCATTATGAATTATCATAAATTACATTGCCATTACGATTTCTGATACAGCCCGTTTTTAACTTAAACTGGTGCCTCTTCACTCTAATTGATATCTGCAAACCTCCACCCTAGCGTACAATTTTCTGAAATATTTAACGAGAACATTATATATTATTTTTCTTTTTTTTTTCTATTTTTCATCATTTTGAACATACTGATTCATTTATTGTAACATCTTTCACTGTTATTATGACGTCAGAAAAAAACATATTCATATCAATTTACTTTTAATGACATGATTACTGCTCTCATTATTGATCAATACGTAACAAAAATTGACATAAAGTTACCATCCAAAGTGCAGTACTATTGGTTATAATATAAAAAAATATATATAAACCAAAACAGTTTCAAGTTATGCATAAAATAAGTTCATTTTACCAGGAATCTAAATATATAAAGTTAGATAATCGATATTAATACCATAAATATATTGGTACTTCATTTGAGATTTGACAAAGCTCATAGCTGACAGCAAAGGAAACACAATCAAATGAGGAGTTTTGTAGTTTAACAAATATATAAGTTTAACTCAAAAGTTAACTTGTGTAGTTTAACTCATAAATTACACTGGGGAACAGTGCATAATTTATCAAAAGGCATAGGGCTCCTTATTGTTACAAATAATTTCTTTTTTCTTAAGAAATGTCTATTAGAACTATGAGTTAAAAATTGTATTAAATATAAGTACAAATTCACTAGTATATCGTAATTTACTCATAAATAATTTAAAGGCACTTCATAAATAAACAAGTAAATTTTTTTCAAGTTATGACTAGGGGACCCCTGACAATTCTGTACCTTGGGCCCTAGCATATTTAGATCATTTAGGAACATTTTTTGTTGCATTTAAACAAATTCTTGATATTACCTGATTCGGGTTCAAGTCAGAAATTAGTTTTTCTCCTAAAGCTGTAGATTTTTTAATGACATTTTTAGTCTAGTTTTTATCGAAATGTGCAAGTTTAAAAACGTTATATATTACAGGGGTTAAGTTAATGCTGTGAGAAACTTTAAGAGAGTTAAAGCACGTCATCAGGATAGTTGCATAGAAGCACATGCCCGGAAACGTCATCGTACTCAGCCAGGGGCTCTTTCCTATTCCTGTTCAGAAGCACATGAAGAATCATTTCATAATAAGGAAGCAGCGCATGGCCACATTTCCGGACATGGTTTCCATGCAAATTTAATCCTGATGATATGCTGTAACTCCCCTTGAAGTTTCGCGCAACATTCACGCAAACTCCTGTTGTATATAACGTTTTTAAACTTGTACATTTCAACGAAAAATGTACTAAAAATGTCATTTAAAAAAATCTGTAACTTGGAGTGAGAAACTGATTACAGATTTGAAATCAGTGATGCAAAAATATCTAAGATCTGTTAAAAAATCTCATACAACAAAAAAAGTTGTCTCCCTGTGTTCAATGACCACTGTTTGCCAACCTAGTACTGCCCCTGAGAATGACAAAAAAAAAATATATTATTTTTACTATTTCTGGAAACTATTCAACTCCTGCAAGCGCGAGTGTCCTTATGTAATCTCATCTTTAATAGCTCCACCTTGTTGCAATAATGGAAAAAATGGTGGGATATAAAATAATATTTATGCTTACATAATGAAACTAAACATAAAAAAGTAATACTTAAAACACAAATAGGGACACTGCAAGATGTTTTAAAATATTGAAAAATACACGTGCCATCCATGTAATATGTTAATTACTTTGAGTAAATGAAGTGATGTAAGTGAAGGGAAAAAAATACCGCTGCATTTTTTTTAATATTATTTTAGCTGTTGACTGCATCTTTCTCATTAGGTCACTTTTTCATTAAAGTTTTTAAAAAAATTATTTTAAACTTTTTTTTACCTCATTTTAGGAAAACTTATTTTCACTTACATTTCAAAAGAAAAGTTAAAGGTACCACCATTTAATTGTTGCAAGATTAATTTCAAATAATAGACTTAAATAATAGATATATTATTGCATATTATCTATCAAAAATCATAAAACAAAATTACGAAAAGGAACATAAATTTTTTAAACTGCATTTTAATAGTTTAAACTAATATATTTTAATATATTGTTGCTTGTAACAATGTAGGATGATATAATCTATCTTGTTCTAACAATTGTTTAGTCGTTGTTTTTATTTAAATATTACTTTATCGCGCTTATGTTTTAAGTTGAAATTTGAAAACCTTTTTTGATGGAAATTATATAACAGAAAATTGTAATGGCATAAAACCGTTTTAATTGTTGTCTGTTTTTTTTTTTTTCAGAAAATTATATATTAGGAGATATTTTTTTAAATTTAAAATACAGTTGAACGCTATTAAATAAATTTATTTACGTATCTCTTATTTTACAGTTTTTTTATTCCGATCTAATATTGGTAAGAGAGGTAATTGTATTATTTTATTAAACGATATTACAATAACTGCTATACTTTTTTATTTGTAACTCAGTGTTATATTTTCATTAAAATACAAAGCAAGATTCATGAAAACACGACTGTTCTGTTCCAGATCAACAAATACGGTTTTTAACTGTTTTTCTTTTATTCTGATCTATTTTTTATAAGAGGTAATTATATTATTATAAAGAAAAGATATTAAATTAACTGTTATACTTTTCTTATTTTTGAGTCAGTGTTATATTTTCATTAAAATTTAAAGCAAGATTCAAGGAAACATGACTTATTTTGATCTACTTTGGATAAGAGAGATAATCAAGGTCGCTGACAGAATAATATAAAAGGGGGTGCAACCCTCTAGCAAACTACCTCCCCCCCCCAAAAAAAAAAAAAAATTTTAAATATTCTGTTATTATATTTTGTTTTGTTATTACATATGATTTCATCTGTTAATTTTTTTCAAGATACATTTCCTCGTTGTTAATTAGATATTTTTAAAAAAAGGACAAATTTCTTGTACTTACAAATTTTGCCACGAGAAACTGTGCTCATGGCGTTGGCATAGCTACTGACTTTGAAACACAAATAACTACAAACAGTAGTTTCGTATGCTAACGTGTTTGTGCACGCTTAACATTGTTATTTATTGTAATAATGAAGTTTTACAGTTGTGAGAAGTCAGTTTGTGTTACAATTGTTAAACTAAATAACTAATAGAAAATATAATATTATTTATATTTCATTAAATGAAATTTAAAAATATAGCTAAGATATCTGCCAAGTTTGTGCATAAGAAAAGAATCAAAGATGACTCAGAATTCATTGAAAAAGTTATAAACAGATTCGGACAGCAAACAAGACGATTACAATTCTTATTTGATTAAACAATTTTTTATTTGTTACGCATCAATAATTACTTAATTATTTGATTTTGAATAAAAGTATTTTTAATAAAACATTTTTATAACAAAATTGTTTTTCTTTATCTCTTTAGGTGTTTAAAAAAAGCTAGGGGTGTGCAAGTGCACCCTCTTGCACTCCGCTGCCGGCACCCTTGAAGATAATTATATTATTATATGAAACGATATTACATTAACTGTTATACTTATTATTTTCAACTCAGTGTTATATTTTCATTAAAATGTAAAGCAAGATTCAAGGAAACACGACTGTTCTGTTGCAGATCAAAAAAAACGGTTTTTAACGGGTTTTTTTTTATTCTGATTTATTTTTTATAAGAGGTAATTATATTATTATATGAAAAAAAATTAAATTAACTGTTATACTTTTCTTATTTTTGAGTCAGTGTTATATTTTCATTAAAATGTAAAGCAAGATTCAAGGAAACACGTCTGTTCTGC